GGGCAAAGTTGGCATCGGGTTTGCGGCAAAGCTTTGTACCCATGTTCACATCTGTGTTGTGTGCCTTCATGAAGGTAAATACTTGTTTGAGCTTTGGAGACTGTCTGTAGGCAAATAAAGGCTTGCCACCTGAGAGGGAAGCATTGTTGTCCAAAATGGGTTGTAGTTTATTGATGACACATCTAAGTGGTCTCATTAAATATATATGTGACCACTAGTAACCAGTAGTGGGGTTTTGCCATTTTCTGTCCTCAGTCTGTCCTGTAATAGATTAGTCCTGGGTGCAAATCTTGCTTTGTTTATTTGCTGTATAGGTCTGTCCCTGGGCTTTCCACTCCACTACATGGATCTGAGGAAGGAGGCTCAAGTCTACAAAAGATCATGCTACCAACTTCTCCCTTTCAGTTAGTCTCAAAAGTGCTGCAAGATCCCTTTGGATACTGGTTTTCAAGACGACTGCAGCTAGGACTCTGAACTGGAGCAAATTGTTATTGAACTTCAGGTCAAGGCCTTTAACATTAAATTTGCATCTAAGGTGTCAGTTCTCTGTGTGTTCACTGTGTCACTCATTTTGCATGTCTCATGTGAAAATGTCTTTTTCTTTACAGAAAAGAGCAGATGGATGATGGTCAATCAACCTTGATTCTCTATGAGTAGAACCAGTGAGGAGGCAATAAAGAAGGGTATACTGGGATTTAAAATTGGGTAGGGGAGTAAACCCCATATCAAACCTAAACAGTGCCCTCTCTTTTTAAAAAAAAATTCAGCTAGAACAACAGTCATTGTCATTAATATTATATTTTAACTAACATTTAAAAACTGTTTTAAGTTTAGAGGCTGGAATCTTTTATCAAGGGCTGTGTGACATAACTGTACATAAACTTATCTCCATAGCAGAAGCACCAAGAAGCCCTGAATTACAAAGATACATTGGGCTTTACCAATGTGCATTGGCACTCCTTAACCAGTGTCCTTACACACATCAGGACTGATGCACATCAATCCTATTGTTCACGAGTCCCTGAACATTATAGTAATGTAACAGCAGCCCGTAACTGGATATGGATATTACTGAATCACCCAATTCTAATTTCCATAGACATATGTTCCCAACAGGATTCCTGTCAATGTTTTTAATGTGATAATCTATTTAGCTGTTGTTGTTGTTTAAACAACTTTTGTACTTTCCACTGTTTTAAAATGTATCTGGATTTAACTCAATTTGTTAGCTGTCTTGGGTTCCATATTGGGAGAAAGGCATGTATAAAATAAATGAATAAACAAGTTAAATAAAACATATTACCAGATGGAACACTGATGTCTGTATAAGTGCCAATACTGAATTAAGCAATTTCATTTTATAATAAATATTTATGAGTGAGACCGTGTTGAGTTTTGTAAATATTAAGGGGCAGAATTATGTTGTTTGAGCTGTTGTTTTTTGCAAAGTGTGCAGTAAAGGGGAAAGATGCTGTCTTGAAAATTATAGCATAGCATAGAGTATGTTTTAAAGACAAACAAATGCCCATTTCTCTTACCTTGGTGGAATATGAGTCATATTTTGCCTTCAAAGCTGTGCAGTTTTTTGTTACCTGGAGAGAATCATAATCATAAATAAAGGTAACCGATAACAAAGGGAAACATATACAACCCTTTAATATATTTACTCAGTTTTCAAAGTTAAAAGAAAAAGCAACAATCATAGATAATAGCCTTAATCCTATGCTTAATCCCAACGAGAGTAAACTGGCTGAATCAATGGGATTAATCTACATGTTAGTTCACCATTCAACAATAATGTAGTCTAGTGGAAACTAACCAGTAGGTTAGCTGGTTAACCATAGCAGCACAGGTTAACCATATAAGCAATGGTTACCTTATCTTATGTGCATAAAGGTGCTATACTGGCCTCTACTTCATACCTCATTGAGGGCAGGGTACAGTCTTTGAGGCTTTTCAGCTTCAAGAAATGGAAAGTAAAGAGATACATAATAAAGGTGTATAAAATTAGACAACGAACAGCAAAAGTGCAGAGGATGAAAAGTTTCTTAGAACACAAGAACCCAGAGTCATCCACTGAAATGGAATGGCTAGAGATTCAGAACAGATAAAAGAGAAGTATTTTTATATACAAGACATAGTTAAATTATGGAATTTACTACCACAGGGTGTTGTCACAGCCACCACCTTGGATAACTTTAAAAGGGGTCAGACAAATTCATATGTAGGGAGTTTTAAAATACATAAAAATGAATAGACAGGTTTGGGCACATATTACTAATCAGGAGGCAGGCACTGCACCATATGCAAAAATGAGGAACCTTGTATAAAGTAGAAGAGAAATTGAGTCATATGTCACAATTTAGGTGAGAAGTCCTAAATGGAAGAGTCTGGTCTATGAGAATTCAAGGAGAGGGCAGGGCTTTGGTCATGCTCTGGTCAAACACAGCTATTGAAGGGCATATATGGAAAAGTGAAATGCGACCATGGCAATTTTTTTATTCACTTTGATCTAAAAGGACCAAAAAGTCAGAGAAAAACAAATAACCACAAGAGGGAGAAACCCCTTTTCTTAGAACAGTGACAGGAGCATAGCAATAAGGCAAGGATCATGCAGATTTGAGCCTGATCAAATGACAGTCATAGCCTTTTCCAGGTGGAATTTGGCCTTGATAAAAATAATTGTTTATGAAGAAAGTGTGCTACGTTCCAAAACATAATTTCAGATCAAAAGAAGTAACTAAAAAGTAACTAGAAAATTACTACCTGTTATGTCCCCTCCCAAGTTTTAATGTCATTCTCACTACTTTTGGAATGTAATTTTGTTACAGTCACACACATATACAGAGGTGACAGATAACAATTACCATCATTAGTTTTAACTTGTTATTTGAAAGATCTGCAAAGTTGGGTGGTACATGCCCTTCTTTGCCCCTTCCCTTCTTCTTCTCATCCCAGACCTATTTTTCTTCCTTCTTCTGATGAGATGGAACAATTGGTTTCCCATACTGTTGGAGTTTTTAAATTGCAGTATCCAATTGCAAAATCGTGCTCCCCAGCAAAAGAATTTTAAAGACCAATATCATAAGAGCTCTTTCCAGTAAATGGGGTGAGGAGAGAAGGAGGAGGATGGAGAGATGATTGAGATGGAGAGATGATTGAGACTAAGGAGGAAGGAGAGAGAGAGATTGACAAACAGGAGGAAGAAGATGATAGAGAAATAATCAGTTTGAAGAGGGAAGGAATGAAGAAGGTAATTTGGCAGGAGGGAATTGTGAGAGCTTTGATGGGGAAACATATCTCTGTGTGTATACATGCCTTCAAGTTGCCTGTCAACTTATGGCAACCCCATGAATTTCACAGGATATTTTAAGGTAAGGATTACTCAAAGGTAGTTTTGCCAGTTCCTCCCCCTGAAATATAGCCTACAACACCGGGTATATGTTGGTGGCCTCCCACCCAAGTACTAACCAGAGCTGACCCTTCTTAGCTTCCAAGATCAGATGGGATTGGTTGTCTTTAGGGTATTTAGGCCACTGGGTGAACATAACCATGTTCTTATTGTTTCTCATATTATTTTTCTTTAATAGTGGAGTGCAATGGCACAATTCCAATGATGCCATTTTTAATTAAACAGCATTGAGAATGTGGAAAGGGGAAAGGAAATAACAACTTTCATGGATATATTGACTTCCTTCCTCCCCCACCCCACAAGAAATAAATTGAGGAGCTTAGCACTTGGAGTTTTAAATCGAACCAAGCCCCCCAGACTGCAGCTAGGAGGCAGGATGGAGGCGGGGGTTATCTTATGCTAAATTGCCACTGAATTGCCAGCTGCCATCAATCTAGGTCCCAGCCAGGCTCAGCCGGCGTTTTTTAGAAATTGGAATGCTTTCTGGTTTCTAAAAAGTGCCAGCTGGACCCGAGCTGATGGTGGCCAGCAATTCGGTGGTGATTTAACATGCAATAATCCCCGCCTCTATCCCTCCTCCTGGCTGCAGCCTGGGAGGCTTGATTCGATGACGTGGACAAGCTCCTTGGAAGTGTGAGGAAGACAACTTGCCC